CCTGCCTAGGCAGGGGGTTGGACTAGAAGACCTCCAAGGTCCCTTCCAACTCTGCTATTGTATTATTGTATTAATGAAAAGAAGGACTAGGGGAGACATGATAGCAGTCTTCCAATATCTCAGGGGTTGCCACAAAAAAGAGGGAGTCAAACTATTTTCCAAGGCCCCTGAAGGTAGAAAAAGAAGCAATGGGTGGAAACTAATCAAGGAGAGAAGCAACTAAGAACTGAGGAGGAATTTCCTGACATTTAGAACAATTAATCAGTGGAACAGAAGTTGCCTCCAGAAGTTGTGAATGCCCCAATACTGGAAGTCTTTAAGAAGATGCTGGATAGCCATTTGCCAGAGATGGTATAGGGTTTCCTGCCTAGGCAGGGGGTTGGACTAGAAGACCTCCAAGGTCCCTTCCAACTCTGCTATTGTATTGCATTGTATTTTTGTGCATTCTTTCCATAGTCATCACTCACCATTTATATAAAATCATGTATTATCAAATCAAATATGTTTAAAATACCTTATTGTTACTACGTCTCATTGGCTTGACTATCACCATTATTTCTTCATTTTAAATGAGATATAGTAGATATTGGGTTCGTTTATATTATAAATGGCCCTACACCATTTCTGACAGATGGCAGTCCAGTCTCTCTTTCAAAGCTTCCAGTGATGAAACCGCAGGAAAGGCAGTCCTCAACTTACCACAGGTCATTTAGCAACCGTAGTTACAATGGCAAGGAGAAAAAAGTGACTTAGGACCATTGTTCACACTTAACAACCACAGCAGTGGTCACGTGAGCAAAATCCACACGCTTGGCAACTGACTCGTATTTATGACGGGTGCAGTTTCCTGGGGGTTTACGTGACCCCCCCCATTTGCGACTGTCTGAGATGCAAAGTCAATGGGGAAGCCAGATGGATTTAGTCAATGGGGAAGCCAGATGGACTTCACAACCGTCCTGCTACCTTAACAATGGCATCGATTCACTTAAAGTCGGGGGGGCCAAGGAAGGTTGTAAAATGGGTCAAAATTCTCCTAGCTGAATTTTGTTCAGCAAAAATGCTTTTTTGCTCAATTTTTGTTTTGTTTTTGGTTAAGCTTAGCAACATAAATGGGGCTCAATTGGGCTTGTACCTCGAGGGTGATTCGTGTATCCCCTTCACCCCTCCTGTGGCCTTTTAAGTGGATCTTCCCCACAAAACGTGGTGACCTTCCTAGAAATGGGTCTTTTTGCGCCGTTAGAAGCCATGGATTTGAGCCTACGTTTTGCTGCCATGGTGATCCGAAGCTTTCAATAGCCCCATTCAGACCGAAAAGGATTGGCAACTCCAAGAGCATGAAAAATAAGATCGTACTTTCGGCGGGTTAATACCCAGCACAAAAGAAAGAATTAAAGGAAAAATGTGTTTGTGTGTGTGTGTGTGGGGGGGGGGGAATATCAATCCCTTGTTATAATCTCTGCTCCTTCAAAAAGAAAATTGGAGGTGGGTTTTCCCCCCCCACCACCACCTGATTTACCACTGCAAATACTCTGCTATTCGGATTAACTGTTTGATCAGAAAAGAGGTGTTTTAACAGGGATATTGAGCCTGGATCTTAAGATTGCAACCCGCAGATGGTACGCTTTGACGATGTTCTCGAACGGACTTGCAGAAATTCGAAACGGAGTTTACCCACTGAGCGTGTAGGTTGCAAACTGAATTATCGCGCAAAGCAATTACCCACCGCCCCGCCCCGCCCCCCCGCATGAAATTCTAAGCAAATAAGCCGAATCCTGTTACACAAAGACCCGTTTCACAGATTTTGAGGGAGTGGGGGGGGGGTTTGCATTTATACTTGCACTCCTAGGCTGCGTGAATAGAGGGACAGACTCAAGATTACGTGAAGCTTTAAGGGTGCTTTACAACGCCTTGGTAAGGAAAGACCTGGAATAATGGATCCGGTTTTGGTCCCTCTTATTATAAAAAAAGATATATTTTTTTATTATAATATTTTTAAAATTTTTATTACATAGACAACACATACACACAACAATAAAAACAAAACAAAACAAAANATAGAATAGGAATTAGAATAAGAAATTAGAATAGAATAGGAATTAGAATAAGAAATTAGAATAGAATAGAATAGGAATCAGAAGAGGAAATTAGAATAGAATAGGAATTAGAATAAAAAATTAGAATAGAATAGAATAGAATAGAATAGGAAAGAATAAGAAATTAGAATAGAATAGAAATTAGAATAAGAAATTAGAATAGAATAGAATAGGAATTAGAATAAGAAATTAGAATAGAATAGAAATCAGGATAGAATAGAATAAAATTTAAAAGAATAGAATAGAATAGAATAGGAATTAGAATAAGAAGTTGGAACAGAATAGAAATAATAGAATAGAACAATAAGAAATCAGGATAGAATAGAATAGAATAGACATTAGACTAGATTAGGAATTAGAATAAGAAATGAGAATAGAATAGAAATGACAATAGAAATGACAAGAGAATAGAATAGGAATACAATCATAATTTATTGTCCCTTTGAATGTACACTAATCAGCACACATTAAATATGAAATTTCGTTGCATATGGGTCTGAAAGGGTCACCACTTCCAATATACACTACATAATATAACAGAATAAATAAATACAGAATTATGCATCTGACATTTAAAGCCAGGCTTTGGGGGTCCTGAGAGTTTTGCAAGGCCGGGGCTAACCACCTCTCAACTGGCTGATCATTTTGGGCAGAAAAAGGAGGAAGAGAAGGGTGCTTACATGAACTTACTGAGTATTTGAGGTCTGATATATTGACGTCCACCCCGGTCGACCGTTTCAGATTCTCGTCATGCGAAACCACCACTTGTTCATCCTTGGTCAAATGGCAGTCAAGTTCCAGCATATCGGTCCCCACGTTGACTGCGCTGAAAGAGAGAACAATCTTGAGCTTTTCCTAGTCAAGTCCAGAGAGATCACGCGTACGCGTACAAGAGGAGTGAAGAGAATAATAGAATCACCGAGTTGGAAGGGACCTTGGAGGTCTTCTAGTCCAACCCCCTGCTCAAGCAGGAAGCCCTGTAATATTTCAGACAAACGGTTGTCTAGTCTCTTCTTTAAAACCTCCAGTGTGGGAGCACCCATAACTTCTGGTGTTAAATTACCAAGGCCTGCCGTTTTGTGAAGGCCGGTGCACGCTTGGAAGAGGATAACCATGTTATCAGGTGATGCTCCAAAGATCTAGGGATCGTAGGTAGGTGATCGGCTGGTCAGCGTTCAGAGCAATTGTAGAGAGTAAAAAGATTCCCTTTGATGGAAATATGTCCTTTAATATGGCTGGGCTTTTATTCCCAGAATCCCCCAGTCAGAATGCTTTAAGATGGGTGGACTTCCGCTCCCAGAATTCCCCACTCAGCCTGCTTTAAAATGGGTGGGCTTTTATTCCCAGAATCCCCCAGTCAACATGCTTTAAGATGGGTGGACTTCCACTCCCAGAATTCCCCACTCAGCCTGCTTTAAGATGGGTGGGCTTCATCTCCCAGAATTCCCCACTCGGCCTGCTTTAAGATGGGTGGGCTTTTATTCCCAGAATTCCCCACTCGGCCTGCTTTAAGATGGGTGGGCTTTTATTCCCAGAATTCCCCACTCGGCCTGCTTTAAGATGGGTGGGCTTTTATTCCCAGAATTCCCCAGTCAACATGCTTTAAGATGGGTGGACTTTTATTCCCAGAATTCCC